TGGGCACAAAGCTGTCTTGAGGAACACATTCAGAGAAAGTGCTTTCACGACCCTCTGGGGACTTCCTTACATCAATCATTGGGGTAAATGCACTGTTTGGGGAAATTTTCAGAACTGCATTTGGAGACTGACACCTTTCAACAGCAACTCTCGACCGCTGTGGCCCGATTATTTGGCATTGGGTGGCACTGCCATCACTTTGCATATCCTTGAGAAGAAATCCTGTTTCGTTGTTCTGGGTGGCTCCTAACATATCCAAATAATACTCATGCCAATCAAATTCATCTCTTTCACTAACGTGTGCAGACTCATTTCTAATTACATGTAAATGCTTGGGTTCTGCAAGACATGCTGCTAGTCCACCACTTGCCAAAAGTTCAGCTGGGGGAGTCTGGGTATAACTGTCCACAGTTTTGTCCAAGCCCTGACCCCTACAGCTCCTGGATACTGGAAGATTGAAGACTGATGTTTCAGATGATGGGCAGATGACCTGTGCTTCAGACATAGACAACATGTCCCATGGGGAAGTGCTTGGTGAGTCTGAAGGTGTACCAGTCTGACCACTGCATAATGAATCCTCAAGTCCACTGTCTGAGAAAATGGAAGTTCCTTTGTCGCTGAACATGCTACCGGTACCACAGACTTGACGTGCTGGTGGTAAAACAATAAGAACAAAAGTAACTTTGAATTATGTAATCCCTACTCTCTCTCTAGAGTACCTACATGTACATGTATATACATGTACATGCATGTGCATGTCACGTACATTGTAGGCTGCAGACATATGTTTTTGTGCTGGGTATCCACAACCCTGTGAAAAATGCTGCCACTGCAGACATTGTGAGATGATCGACATTACACATGATCCCATAATGCTTTACATTGTACAAGCAGCATGTGTTTACGGATCACTGTGAGGTCATGAACAAAAAGTTATTATATATTACTGAGAAATTAACAAATTTTCAACTATACATGTACTGTATTCCACAGAAGACAGTCCTAGGCAAAAGTACATGTACCTTCATACATGTAGCTGATGTAGCTGAAAAGAAAAAGCCCCGAATAATACAAATTTATTAGATATTACATTTTTTTAAAGGGACATCATGGAGTTTTTCCAGACCCTACCCATCAAACACTCAGCTGTCCCATGACCATTGATTCTTTTTTCAAACTTAGCATGCATGAAACAGTCATGTCATGAGAAATTTTGGAAGGAGATATACATGTACACTTAGAATCAGCCATCAGCTCTTTCGGGGTGAAGACTTTTAGAGCAATCCAATTTCTACAGTACATGTAACTACTTGCATATGTGCAAATTTTCATTTTCCTCGGAATGAAACATTTGCATTGCTTTGATGCTCTTCTGGTTTTAAAACAAAGACACCTACATGTACATGTTGGAAAAAACTTGAAGTACATTATGATGTCACTGCCTTCACATGACAGTACGGTACATGTACACATATATGCAAAAGGCTACAAGAAGATGTATGAAAATCTAAATAACAGATGATTGGAATAACAAGCAGGTACTGTACTTGACCCAGCTTCTTGCATTGTTCAAATGAATAATAACATCTGATGTACCAATAAACCATGTCAGTGAAGAACAAACTAAACATCCAAATACACATGTACATCATCCAAAAAATGGAAAAGATTCCACTAAAAATATCTTTGTGATAACTTATTTTCACCAGGAGACCACAGTAACAGAATCATGTAATGTACGGTACATGTATGTACTGTACCCATTGGTACATGTATGTGCACACTGTAGGAACCAGTACATACATGCAGTTGTATACACTGCATTTAAATATTTCAAACCCATGTGTGTTGCTATTGGAGGGAAAATGTGGAGTTCATCATGTAAATTTGAAGGTGCTCAATTTATTCAATGTACACTACATGAAAGTACCGTACTTACAAACTACTGGTATCAGTTATCCATGCAACAGCCAATTACATGTACATGTACTGTACATATATGTACATACAGCTCCTAGTTTCACCATTACACATTTACGTACCTGTCTGTACTTTGCATAAAAACTTGTTACGTGGGGTGACCATCAACTTCGTTGCACTTCTTATTCTAAATTCCTGATGTTCAAAGCGTTATACCAAACTACGAGTAGGTATTCTCAACAACTAACAAACACCAACACATCTGTACATGTACCAGTCACATGTCACTGACAGGTGGTCCCATCAAAACCTAGGAGTAACAGTGCAGACTTTTTACACAGTACAGTTGGTAACGTACCATGCCTGTTGCATACATGTACACAAAGTCCAACTGACCCAGGAATTAACAAAGGCCACAATAAAAAGGTTTGCTTTGTCTATTTTACAGTAATACTTTGCCAACAAGCAGCTGGTAAATCTATGGCTGGCCATCAGTACAAAAGCAAAGAATAATTAAGTATGTGTTTAAAACTGCAGCAGTATCAAAATATCAATAATAAATGCTACTAAATGAAACATACAATTCTTAAAATATAATAGGGTAAATATGCATTTGAGGCCAAATGTGACACCAACCAATTTAGGGTGAAATTTCTTTGGCCACCCATCTGAGTGGAATGTTCATGTAGTCAATATGTGACCCCCTCTGCAAAAATGAGTCTCAAGTCATTGGAGCCACTTTTGAGTTTTACTTTCTAATACTGTAGATTGAAGAATTTGAGCTCTTCGTGTTGATGTGCCACTCAGTTTTAGTACCATATGATGAAAATATGTTGTTGTTAAAATATTGAGGATTCCTAATGCTGAAACACTGAGCATGCTGAGCAAGATTCTTTCCTGGCTTTTTACTCAGAAGTAACACTGGCCACTTGACCTGGCATGCGCCTTTTTTGCACTGCGGGTCAAATATGATAAAAGGGAAACTTCTTTGCACTCTACTCGACAAAGCATGCATGCATGCATGTACAACGCACATGTACATGTACATGTAGGCTGACAAGGAAAACGGTTAAATCCAAGTACATTCACATGGGTTAAGTAATACATACAGGTTTAAGCTGTCTGAAAGGTTGACACCATCAGGTTCTTTTCAGAACCACACATGCTTACAAAAGAGATATTTTGCAGGGTGCTACCGCAAACCCCATTACTTACATGTATTCTGCAATCTTCCCTAAGAAAAACTCAAATCTCATTGACACGGGCACAAACTAATGAGTAGTGCAACTGGCTGCAAATGTGGGATTTGATAGGGGCCACTGGAGGGTACCGCAAAACATGATACATTTGTTCATGTACACATGTTGTTCAATTCATTTTCCTGTACCTTGTAACGCCTTATAATAATCATGTACATGTGTATCAAAATGGATGACTTTCTGTGCTTCAGAAAATACAGGGGTCACTGAAAATGATCATATACACGTATGTAAAAGGGTCAGAGGCTTTGCGATACATGCACATGTAAATTGGCAGAACACTTACAAGTATTATCATGTGCATTAATTTTACCCAAGCATCATCTTAGAAATGTCCATACGCTATTTACAATGTACAGGATTACTAAAAAAGCACAATTTTCTTGATATTTGTGACACTTATGTGTAACATACGTGTACATGCATGCAATGTTGACAGAAATTTTGTGACTAAGTTCTGTCCATGTTGCGTAAGTAATGTTGTGGACAAACATGTACTATTCTGTGGAATCTTCAATATACAGTGAACAGTCTTGGTTTTTACAGGTAAATGTTACCTGAGCCGTGGGAATCAGAATTTAAAAGCACACTGTTTGGGTAAATTGTCGGCAAAAAATAACTTTCTATCAAACTTAACATACAGTGTACACGTACGTATTCAGTCCATGTTACATACATGTACATGTACTGGTATGTAATAAACACATCTTGGACAATACACTTGGAAAAGTCTTAGTATACATGTAATCCTGATCAGTGTTCAACAAGAGGAAATACATACCCGGTATATAGTTTGATATGTCCTGATTTACAGTATCTCCCAATCCCATGTCACACTTTTGGACCCCTTCAGTGTGGAAAGACCCACATACATGTACTGTACATGTACCTTTGCCATTAAGTTTCAGCTTCAAATGCTCATACACATGTACTGTACATTGTGAATTTAGAGAATCTATGCAGTACATATTTCTAGGACTCACTTTTTGGGCATCTTTAAACTCTTCAATGCATGACTACTGTTCAAAATCCTTTTGGAAAAAAAGGTGCACTCTTTTAATTAAAAATTTAAATTTCCAACTTTCCCACACAAGCGAGATTGCTGTTTCTGTGATGTGCACGTAAATCAGGGGCAACACTGTTCAGATTACAGTGTACATGTTTTCATCTTTCAAGTTTGAACCCCAAATTTAATCTCTGAAATATGGTGTCTCACTGGCTTGTTGCCAGGCTTATGGAAATTAAATGTTTAAATTGTCAGTGAAATGAAGAATTTGTTTTTTAAATCCAATAGCTTTTATGCACAAATCAAGGCATCACTGAGGTTTAGAACGTGGGATGACATCACAGTATTCATATTAAAGGTACATGCAATATGTACTGCTTTTTGAGTGAGTTTTCTCACTCCATGATTCACTCATTATCCCCTCTATCTTGAGCCTGGGGCTTCTTGGACTGCATAAACATGTACCAGTACATGTATGTATTTAACATTCTTTTGTGCCTATAGAATACACAAGCAAGGCCAAAGGTGCAACTGTGCTTAAGGCCAACATGTTGTTTACTTCTCCAATGGTTGAGGCATCTTTTGTTTCAAGAATTTCTTTAAATATTTTATCCCATCAACCAAATCTGTAACTCAACAAATGGGAATACATGATTATCTGGAGACCTGTTTCCAAATTTAAACTGAATGAGTTTTGATGCATGTTGCTGTAGCATAGAGTCCTTGGGAAAAAAAGTTTTTGATTGAGGATAGTGGTAACAAGGGGTTGTGGAATGTTTTCTATTCAAAGTACCTGTAGCATTGATAGCACCAACCTTGATCTAGAGTTCCCTTTGATGACTCCTGCTTTTCCGAACCTTTATGATCCTTTCTGAAAGACACCCGCTGGAATGTGAACCCAGAGATGGGCTCTATGACAGCATCAACCTCTGATGAATCTGTCACTGACACTGGCTCAGAACCAGAGCTGTGCCAATGCAAAAAAAAGGTGAAACAGGCAGAAGTCAGTGGTTATTTGTCTCCAACTACCCGTAAAAAAGAGTGTTGAGATTTAAGCTGTCAAAACTGTACATGTACAAAAATTACATGAATGTAGGACAGATAAAAGAACAGGGGATGAGGACTGTGGGGGATGTTTTGCAATATGCTATTTTTGTGGGTTAAATTTCAATAAAATCTGATATGCTGAGTTCTTTAAATTCACCTTAACATAACATTTTGAATCATCCATACTAAAGACACTGTTGCTAAATGTATAGCTCATGATTAGGAGCAGCTTTTGCTTAAATGTAGTTACACAAGAGAGGCCTTACACTGTTTTCAATGGGCACAGACAACGGAACCAGTCCAATCCAGAAGTGATGATCACTATGTAAAACCTTGTCCCGAATCACGAGGTGCATGTACAAGTATAGCAAAAGTGTCTCTAATCTGAGGAATTCAAATGGTTATGTTTATGTGCAATCAGATAACTCAGAGTACAAGATTTTATTTAAATTTAACTAGCAAAAGCTTATTGGTGGGCAGTGAGATCAATACAAAATATAGCTTTTGCATGGCTCGGGGTGAAATGAGGTGCTTGGCTCGGGGTGAAATGAGGTGCTTGGCTCAGGGTGAAATGAGGTGCTTGGCTCGGGGTGAAATGAGGTGCTTGGCTCGGGGTGAAATGAAACGAACAGTACTTGTAATAGAGACAGCAGGAAATGTCTGCATGACATCAAATGATTTGTGTACATGTACAGTTATCTAATATGGTTTGAAACTTAAAGCCAAAGGAAAAGAAAAACAGAAAAATGAATGTATCACACACTGCAGGAAGTGGTTCTAAATGTAAATGTACATGAAGCATTCAGAATGAATCTAGTAAGGGAACATGTTATGGATGCATCCTCAATATCCACTGGAGCAACTTCATCACCTAATATCAAAGTCCTATAAATGACAGAGATTACTATGTCCACAATCCTACCTGGGTTCAGCATGTTCAATGGGTTTTTAAAATTTTCCCTGAAATATCATCCCAGTTTTTCCTCCTTAGGCTAAAACTGAACGTTTCTTTGCCTTTTCTTTCTAGATATTTTCTGGTGTCTCGGCTACCTACTTCGCATATACAGTATACATGCACTTTTAAGTTATGGAAGCTATTAAGTGGGAAAAATAGTTTGTATCTTGCAGGCTGTCCATAGCCTGGCCGCCGCCTGCCCCCCCAACCGATGCCCATGGGAGAGACACCATACATGTACATGTAGCTGATGTGTGTACATGTATTCTGTGTGTTAACTAGAATCAATATAACAGGGATGATGGGATGTCGTGTGGGGGGGGGTTGAAGGAAGTTAGAAGGAAGATGAGAAGAGGGTTAAATTGACAGCTCTACCATAGATGTCGGGTGGGGAATTTCATACATGAAGCTGAAGCTTGTTATTTGATGTTCGATATACCAGTACATTGGCGGATCCATTGTGAAAACTTTGTGAAAAAAAAAACTACAGAGCAAAACAACAAAACAAAAATAGACAATAGGGTCAATTGAAACACAAAGGCTCAGTTTCAAGGGTTTAGTAAAATAGTTGTACCGAGGTTCCTTGAAAGTGTTTGGTGGTGGCTTGCATCTTTCTTGTTCAACTTAGTATTTTTCCCCTGACCCAATTGTTTTAAAATTACACATGCTTCACTGATGTATTGCATTTTGCATTCAGTACACATACATTAAGACATCAGATGCATTGTACGTGTCACATTTTTAGAAAAAAATGTGCTCCTTGTGGAACTGCAACAGACCTATATGTATTGGTGTTCACTGCATGTTGACATGCATGTATGTGACTGACACAGTGGTTTGCTGTACGTCTGAAGTATCTGGAAGTTGATGCAATTTGAATTTATGCGTTGAAGAAAGTCTTCATTCACTTGATCAGCTCGGGTGTGGATTGGAGTAAGTTGAAGTAAACAAAGTTTGAAATATTAAGAGGACTGGGGAAAAATATGGGTATTGACATCCTTAAAAATACATGTGTATTGCGAGGAATTAGAGCGTTGGAGTAGTCGACACTGTATGTACATAAATGTACATGTAGAGTATATGTATATAGTATAGTGTACATGTATATACACTATACATTACACATATAGTGAATATATACGTATTACAGCATTGCTGAATTCCCAGGCTGTGGATGTTGCATGCCTGTACATGTAGATTTACTAATGACTATGATTTGTGGAACACAAAGTACATTGTACATGAAAGGTACATTGCCAAAGCACAGAAAAAAAAACTTAGGCTTGTGGTGTGCCACAATTTGTACCTACCACTATTGCATATACATGTACACTGCAAGTGTAGGGTATTGAGTACTGAAGTACATGAAATAAAACCCATCAAATGCTGTAATACTGCACTGTGGATAGCCCTTAAAACCATAAAAGCATGTACACAATGATGCCATATTGGGACAAGGCAACTCAATTTGTTTCCTGTTATTAGGCTGCATGTACTTGTGCTGTGCACTCTTCCATGACTAAGCACACTAAACAGATTGAAGCACTGGGGTGTACAGAAAAATGAAAAAGTCTATCAAGGTTTCACTCACACAAACTTTCATTTTAAGGGGATAAATGATGGAATCCTAAAATTGAAGCCTCATCTATTCAACTACAATTCCTATGAAAACAAAATAAATTCCCCCTGTACAGGGAAAAAGAGAAACAAATGGCAGTTAAACTCTACCCTGGGAGGGCAGGAGGGGTCCCATTATAGTCTCCCTTTCTTCTCCATCTTCTCACAGACCACACATATACCAGTAAATACTTACCTGCATGTAGATGTCCTGCTACATAGCTATTAGCAAGAGCTGGTTGTCAATGTGCACTTTACCACTCACTAGCATTGTACATTTCCAAGTCACATGCCACATCCAAAAGCCTAATTATAACTGAGGCACGTACAGGTGAATAATCCCTAGTATGCAGTTCACAACTTTTCAAAAGCTCTCTTAGGTCATGAACTGAAAGGTGGCACAGCAGTATTGAACATGTTTAAAGGGACAAATTTCATGTGATCTACCTGACAAAATAGGACAGACCAACTGACAGTTAAATTCCTATTTATTTTGGAGAACAACTACAGAGAACTGAACACAAGGTCAGATGGAAAACAGTTAATATACATGTGAATGTACTGAGCACAATCCGCATTCCAGGCTTTCAGAAACCACGCACGGGCTACAAATCTATGGACATGCTGTTTTAGAACCTGTTCTGTGAGGTGTGAATAACAAGCTTTCAAAACCACATTCACCATTCAGTGGGGTACAAATAATCCTAGCCTTCAGAACTACATGTACATGTAATTAATGATAAATTCAAACCCAGTTGCATGTACTGGTACATTAATCCGGTTTGCATACTGGTGAAGATTTGCTCCTCGACATGTACATGTAATTAAAAGCCTTTAAATTGAAGATGAAACAATTTCAAATCCAGCAACATGATATGTCTCTCAATTTATGGTGAGTACCATTCTGAAGATATTTCAGAATTTGACATATAGCAAAGAATTCTCAATTAGGAGAACAACACTTGACCCAAATTTGGAAAAGTGATTTTGTTGCACTCTGTGGTAAAAGCATGAAATTTGCCATGTGCTAAAAATTCTTTTAAGACTGAGACGTACATGTACCATCTCTGATCCTGCAGATTTTGTTTTTTTAGGGGGTGGGACTTTTTGTGAAAAGGGGATTCAAAAAATAAAACTTAGAAAAACTGTTCTGAAATGTGATCCACCTTTTTTATAATTGGATGTAAGCATGTACAAAATGTTAAGCACTGGTATTTTTCATTTGAAGAGATGTTACTTCCTTTTACTTTGTGGGCATGGTTTAAATTAGCAAAGGATGCAGTTTTTGAGAACATTTTACTTCACTTCTGTAAAAGTACCAAGTACATCAAGTAATTAGGGGGGCCAGCCACGAATCGTTTCAACAATCAGGACCCATTCATCAACGGGGGGGACTTTATTTTGAAAACAGGGGTACAAATGTGAAGTTGCGCAAGTACTCCAAATGAATATGTTCCTGGTTTTATCATGCTTTATCCTATACCCAAGGTACCGTGAACAACTATTTCCAAGAAAGGACTTGCGTCAGAGAGATGTTAATTGATTTTGAATTTTTAAACTGCCTGACGTGTATACACTGTATACGCAGTGTTTGTCCCAGAAGGCTTGTGAAAAAAATACCACAAAAAACCACAAGCATACTCTGGTGGGACTCAAACTTCTTGCTTACTAGTCTGCACAAGTGAGCAGGGAGTCATGGGTTCAAGTCCCTCCCGAGTACGCTTGGGGGGTTTTTTACAAGCCTTCGGGGGCAAACACTGAGTTTACAGTGTTATAATACACGTTGGCAGGGCAAAAATCCAAATCAATTAACATCTCCCCGATACAAATCCATTCTTGGAAATGTTAAGATCTATTGTTGGTCCTGTCTGTTTTCGGGGTGCAACTTGTTCAGATGCACAGAATAATTAACTCAAACAGCCTTTTTATCACACTTTACTAATGCAGAATAGACTGATTTGTTAAGCCCTACCCATAGTCTTTTGGTCAATCCTACAATAACTGTGATTTGTACTTGATATGCATGCATGTGTGTATGATACACATGGTTGCAGTATTCAATGTTACACTGAAGAGGAGCAGTGAAGAGAACAACGTTGTTGCCTATTGTACATGCACAGTGGGCGGGGATTAGTGTATCATTCTATGTAGGTACTACACTTGAATATCTAAACCGCTTTCCAATTGTTGCAGGTTATTTTTGTTGGAGATTTTAGAATGTGCATTTTTGTGATAGAATCATAAAACTCTCCAAAAAATGACAGCCTTCGAATTGCCCACTGCCAAATGTACCCCAGTAATGCTACTGATGCACTTGTGAAAATGGTGGTCTGAATGTCTACAAACAAACAGAATTACACAGTTACAAAATACACACCTGTTAGCACAAAAATGTAAATTAAAGCAATAGTCAGTGATAACTGTGAAAAAGGCACCCAGTATCAAAACAAATATAAAAATGTGCATGAATTTGAACACATGCTGATGAAAGTGAATGCTTTTTACTGAAAATGGTTTGGGAAAAATTCTACTAAAATGTTTTACATTACTGTATCAAACATTTTCAGAAGCTGCCTCTAAAACTTTTGGGGAAGATGATAGATGTTCAAATGGTTGCAAGTGTCATCTTTTGTGCGTTTATTTACTTAATGAAAACATGACTAGATGTTTTAAACAGTTTGGTGAGATTACACATATTTATTGTACGCCAGTGATGGAGGACTCCAGTCCGGACTTGAGTTCAAGTTAAATCTCCTAGTCCATTCAACATAAATACATTCTGTGTGAAGCATCAACTTTCTCATACATGTAATCCTCTCCTTGTTGTGCCAATCATCATTATACCAGAGTGACATCATGTAACTCTTTCATACAACCGAAGTCAATACTTCTTTAAAAAGCACTTTTATAATTTCTAAATGCAGAAAAAAAAGTTTGTTCATCATATTTGGATCCCTGGAAAGTATAGAACAGCCTAGGACTGACATGAAGTTTTTGTGCCCAGTCTTCTGCTATGAAAACTTTCAACGGCTGGACTTGGACTTGGCTCAGACTTGACAATTCAGACTCAAACTTGAGCTCGACTCGGACTTGGCTTGGACTTGGACTGGACTTAGGCCTTTATGGACTCAGATTGGTTTGGACTCAGGCTTTCATGGACTCGGCTTGGGTTGGACTCAAGCCTTCATGGACATTAGATGGACTTGACTACATCACTGATGCATGCCCCTTTTCCAAAATGTTGCCCCAACCCACTTAGAGTAGACAGGACACTGTATACATGCAAATGTGCATGGACAAATCAAACTGATTTGGAGATCTGAAATTCTTTCAGTTAATTTTGAAAAAGAAATGTTGAATGCAACTCAAATGTTTTTGTACAATTTGTTTATGAAATATGAAAAGGATGGAGTAATGCTTTCTATTGCAACTGTCTGGTCTACACTAAAGCAGATGGATGATGTAACGGATGAGCTTCTTTCATATAAATACCTGGTGGCATCAACATTTTATTGAAAAATACACAAATGTGGCAGTTGGTTGATTTTATAATACTAATACAAGAATGATACAATGAGGTTTCCTGTTTGGAGGATGATACCATCTAAGATGATATGGAATGTGATGAGTTATTGTGTTATGAACTACTGCACAAACTGAGGTTTTGGAAAATCAGATCATGTACATGTATGAAGAAATGAAATGTGATGTGTTATTGTGTACCTGTTACTGCGATCATGTGTCCGTATCTTTTGGAGTGATGTGTTTGATTTCACGTCTCCTTTTCGCTTGAAAAACCTCTGGCCAGCTTGTGAGACAACTGCCACCTTCTTCCACTTATTTCCCTCTCTCCCTCTTGGATAATCCTCAGGTTCAGAATAGACTTCTGAAGCAGAGGTATTCCCTGCGAAACTAGAGGAAACTCCTGAGGAGGTTCTGATAGAAGTGACTGGGGAACTAGGCCCACTGGATGAATACTCATACCTGGCACTTCGCCAACTATCCTGCCTGGAACTGGCGTATTCTGAAGATGTGCGACTGTCTTGCCGCCTTTTATGGTGCCGTCCTCTTCCTGGGTCACTGTGTTGCTTCCCTTGCAAGGATGCGCGTGTGTCTGATCTGAGATCTGATGCAGTCAGTATAGGGAGAGTGGTTGGATCCTTCTGAGAATGCCTAGCTTTAGCCAATGATGCCTTCACAAGGTCAGAACCAAATAGTGGAACACTGTCAACTTGCAGTTTGGAGTAGTGCCACTCTCCAGTTTCAAGTTGAATTTGCCTACATGGACATATTTGAAGAGAGAAATTATAAATGCGTGTGAACTATTGATCAAAAGATTAAAAGGCCTTCAAAAACAAAAACGAAAGTGCCCTTCATGTACAACCAATCAATAAAAATTGTAACAGACATGCAAAGCATCCACTCATACACGTAGTTGCTACATGTACCCATACATGTACAGGTACAATAAACACGAATGAACAAATGAATGAAACAAGTGACATAAACAGTGCCCTCTAGTGTCTTAGAAATATGAGAAAATTTATTCTAGAGCTGTGGCATCTTTCATTGCATATCAAAATAATGCTACAAAGCCAGGGAATTCTTGTTTTTTTTAGGCAAACTGGACAAATGTTAAGTGATTGAAATACATTCAGCTTTCTTTAAAGGGTTTCTGTACTGCAGTTTTTGTTCATACAAATCTCTTAAATGCACCCTCGCGTCTCAGTTAACCCTGTTTTCGGATTTTTTTTGCTATTTCAAAGGGTACTTTGCTGCCAGGTTGGTTTCCATGCTGATGAGTATTTATGGGAAAAATGAAAAAAGAAAACCTCAATGTTACCCTGTACACTAAAGCAAGCTGATTTTTTTTACTTTGCTGAGGCAAAGTTTATTTTCTGTGGTGATCCATTGTTGTGAAAATGTACAGTGTACCAGTAGCAATAAGCAAACAATTTGGCAGCCCTCTCTTATAAATGTTTCAGTGAGTAAATTCTGAGGTAATGATTCCAAACAACAAATGCACTGAACTGTGTCTTCCCTGGATTACATCAGTGTTGTAGTTGACAAGACTAGATGCAAGACCATGCACAAGACCAGTCACAAGTAACAGAGTGAACAATGACAAAGGAATGCATTTGTTGCAGTTCATTTGAATAGCTGGTGACTTGAATTCAGACTGGAGGTCTTGTGTTGGTCTTGAGCTGGTCTCATGTGGTATTGTGAAGGTCTTAAGTGGTCTCGACTACAACAATGGATGACACGACAGCAATAGAACCCTCAGTTGTCCATGAAAGCATGCATCATTTTTGATTTTTAGAAAAATGCCTTTAATTCATTTACATCTAAATTAATAGTGATTTCAAATACCTGGTAGTGTTAAACATTATCAAAAGTATCAAAAATCTAAGAAAAATTAATTAATGCTATCCTTTAAGCCAAGGCTCACACAAAATGATCAAGGCAACAGTCCTCTATTCAATTTTATTCAAAACTACAGCTTAGGAAAATTGGATGTGGGTAACAGAAGTGCGGTTAACAAACATTTGCTACAGGGTTAATACACCCTTGTGAAAAAAATATTCCAGGGCTTTCAAGGTATAAAGTTTGATTTTTCCAGGACTTCATTCCGGTTCTGACAGTGATAACCAGACCACGAGGTAGGCCTACACACAGCTGGCATCATAAAAAATAAACATCCCCTAGTCCATTCAATGTTAAGGAATAAAGTTTGACACAGTCACAGTTTTACTTTTACACTGAGCTTTATTAATTCATAATGACCGGATATATTTAATTAGGTATTCAATAAAGTTCATAAATTTAATAGAGAGTGATTTCATAATCATAGCCACAACAGACAATTCACCATGGAGCTACAAAAACCGAAGGTAAAATCTGACTACAAGAAAGTTTAGTAATGATCAATGGTGTCCCACGCATGCAAAGAATCACATTTGGGCACCATCCAAAATTGATTTCGCTTACAGCGCTGCGCACAGTGCGAGTGTGTTCTTGAGTGTGTAGACCCCACACTGTGAATAATGTATTGTGACAATGTACGCGGGGAATCGATTGATTGCGGTAAATTTTCGGTCACAGTTTATTACTGTAGATCATCTTGCTCTCATTTTAAATGTAAGATTGATTTTGCTACGATTTCCATAAATTTAAAGGACTTTTTTAAAAAATTAAGCATTTTCCAGTACTTTCTAGGACGGGTATAAAATTCAAGGATTTTCCAGGTTTTCTAGGAGGCTTGTGAACCCTGTTGCTACACGTACATGTATGTGGGCCTTTATTTTAATATGGGGGCCAATGTGTATTTTAGGGACATCACAATTATCATGACCATTTAAAAAAAGACCAGTTTCACTTCCCCATTTAATTTTCATAAGTATTTGTCAATTAATATGCATTGATTACATTCAATTCATTTACATTAAAAAATGTTGATTTACACAATAATTGCAAGGGAGAAACCTCATCGTTTCTCACTGTTTTTTTGGTATTTAATATGACGTTTTTGATGACCTGTTTCATATGACATTTCATACCACTGGCAAAACAAATGAATCGTTTATTTTTTAACTAACCTATCAACAGAAAGGTAAATTATGACATCAGATAAATCTCCAAATGAAATTCATTTTAATTGAGAATACAGGTGCTGTCATAATTTGATATAACAACGTAACATTTCGTTCCTCCAGTGAAAATCATTTTTGGCTGTTAAAAACAAGCAAAAAGCTGTTGCAAATCATTTCAAAAACCTAAAATATCAACTAACACAACTAATTTGTGTCTGAGATCCTAAACATTTCTGAAGATATCCCTGTCAGTTCTCGTCAAAAAATATTTTAGCTACTCACAAAATGGTTACATTGTAAACAAAAAACTTCGTGTCACTTCCAACGTTCGCCCGAGTCAGGATCATATTGCAAGCCTGCATGCGCTGTCACGTGATTGTCACATGACAAAGACATGCCAAGTTCCTGCCATTCTTACATCGTCAAGAAATTTCGGTCGAAGCTTTCGTTACTCGCATGTTACGCTGTGACAAAAAGTTACGGGATGCGGGTTTCTTCTCAAGATATGCAGGTAAAATTTACCAGAAACTCAATGTATACAGGAGCATGATAGCCACTTAAAACTCACAAATAAAAATGAGCGTAATGGAAGAAAGGAAACATTTTTCCTTCTCGAATCGGACACGCTTGTCGACCAGCTGAAAGTCGCCAATTTTCATTTTGCGAGTTTACCTGTATGTTAATATCCGTTAGCGATGTCATGACACGCCGGCTTAGCGGTCCATTCACAGCGTGCTGTGTCAAGTCGGTACACGTGGGCCAGCGACTGTGTTGTGAGCGGCAGAATGTTCGGTGACAGTGACCACATGGAAACAGTGCAATGCACATTACAACTCTCGGGAAACAGTCACCGGCGCGGGTACGCTGCGCCGACTTTGTAGCTGGTGCTATTTTGTGAATGGTCCGCTAGGCCAGCGCGCTGTGATGTTATCAACAACATTGGCAAACAGCTTAAATCACAAAAATGGACGTGGGGATTTTGTTGAACTTTTTGGCATAAAGTTTCGCGACATCAAACTTTCTTCGTATTCCACTTGAATAAAAATGTGAACCGGCATCTAAGAACATGTATCTCTGCAACTCTTAATTCTTTGAAATTTTCTTTATTATCCAGTAAAGACAAGTAGGCCAGTGGTTGTGTGACAAGTTTGACAGTCCAACCTCGTTAATAACAGCACTTTAAATACAAGATTCTCCTTTAACAAGAGTTCTTTTTTAAGCCCAATCCTTAATTTTTGTACATTTTCTTTATAAAATGTTTTGTTTTTATTCACAAATGTTGAACCCACTGCTTTCCTAAATTCAAATTGGTTCTGAAGATTCTGGATATTTGTCTAAGCAGTCCTCCAAACATCCTTGGCATATTACTTTCCCAGAACAACTTGAAGGGTTTAAAATCTACCCTTAATGTGTTGTGTGTTGTCCTGAATGATAGATTCAATGAGTAATTGCACTGAAACAAGTTTCAGTTTGAGAGATTCCTGTCCAGAACTACAAATTGCACGAGACTGGGGTATGTTTTATTTATGACAAAAACAATGCAAGAACATTGCATTTTGAGTAGCCTCTACTATGAGAGTTGCATAGAAACATGCACCCTACACATGTAGCATTTACACCCATACATCCTGCTCCCCATGACGTTTTGGGATCACGGGCATATCATAAATACTTAATGAGCATTTCTGAACTTGGCAAAGAGGGTCTCCTGGGCCATGATTTTACTTTTTTTTCCATAACAGGGAAAACTGTTACATTTTTTGATGTCAAGTTTGGAGGGTGGTCTTGTGACCTGTTGTATAAAGGTTATAATTAAGGGAATTTTGGTTTCTTTTTATTATATATTTTATACAAAAATATTCAACAGGGAGAAAATTACAAAAAATTGATTTCAGGAGGTGATAGTTCCGACAGCATTTAATGCCCCAACACCATCAATCTATGACTGTCTCTAATAGTAGCTGATAGGCACTTACATGTTTTTGTGACAGACAGTACACAGCCACCGAGTTCCACTTGGCAATATCACCTGACAAGCCTTGCACACCTTGTGTTGACACTTTGGACAGCTGTCACCAGTGTTGAACAAGAGGCCAAGGGGCTCCCGGCAACGTATGCAGGCACGGGTGTTGTCATTCTCATCAGCTGCTTTGACAGCACCTTTCCTACGCAGCTCATAGAGTTCATTTTTCAATGTCCTAATGATACACAAATGAAGGGGAAATTATTCTTTTATAAAATGTCTCACTGCCTGAAGAAATTATATGTAAAACATTGCCAGGCTCACCACACATAAAAAATAAATATGCAACAAGTATCACAGTTAAAGTGGGATGTAGTTACTGTTAATAAATCACAAAAAGTGCACTTGTACATACATGTATGTCTCTATTCATGGTCTGTAAATCCACATGTACATCTTAAGCTTGAGACATTTACATAAACATGTTTAAACATTTAAACAAAAGACATTTAAACGGAACCACCCCTTTAATAGAGGTTTGACATTTTGATTGATGCAATCTGGCATTCACTTTTATTGTAAACGACCCCTGTTACATACTGTTTTTTCTCCTTTTGGCATCTATGCGTACATTCCTTTTGAGAAATAACTGAATTCTAAAACAAACATTGCTTGTTCTAAATGCCCCAATATCAATGTACATTTTAACATAGGTTTGACCATGTGCATGTAGTTAAACTGTATAATTATGCATACATGTACATGTATATATAAAAACACTGAGGTAGGCGGCGGCAGCCTCTGTGAAGTGTTGGCTAAACGTTTAAACGATATGGGAAAGTGTTCGTTTTTCAAATGAAACGTATTGCAAATTCCCATCCTTAGTACATCTACAGCACAGTGCCTGTGCTTTGATTCCAAGAAAAAGGGAACAAATGGTTTGATGAATCTATTACATGTAAATACCAAGATCAAAATTTATCATGAGAGAGAAAAGTACAAAATGTTTGCCGTATTTTCAGCAAAAACCTAGCTTTCATTGGGCTTTATAACTTAAATAAATTTAAGGGTAATTCCAGAAATTAGAGGTCCAAAAGTGTGACATTTTTGTGTCCCAGTTACAACTGACCTTTGATATTTGACATGGAAATATCACCGGGATGGATTTCAAACTAGTATTTGTTTGGCAGGTAGTTTGCATTAGTTCATCTAGAAAAATGTGTTCTGAACTTACAAAATCGTATGTCAGATGTGACAGGGACACGAAAAAAAATGGACCCCTAATTTCTGGAATAACCCTTAGCAAAGTCTAAGAAGGATCCTAATTAACCCTGTGCATGATTTTTCCAAGCTACAAGTACATGATGCAACTAAAGAAAAGACATGAAAGAAGTTCAAAGGTTAAGTCATTATTCAAAAGAAATTTAATCATTTGAAATTTTACACCTAAATTGGCAGACACACTATATCCAAGTTCAGCATTGAGTTAGTTTGGCTGCACTGTAATAGGACCCTTTTGGTGCCAATAACATGTACTGGTAGATTATCAAGTAACTAAGTGGTCTGCCATCTGCCATCTGGTTGCCTATGTGTACCAACCATATGGTATAGTATTAAGATGTCAGAAAAGACCTACTGTATCAACACAGCGGCCAGACGAGAAAGGATAAATCTTGAATTTTTAAGCTGCATAAAATATTTCAATGTTCAAATGTAAAACTGAAATGTGCATTTCACAGTACCAATATATTAACAAGTTCAATGAGCCTACATGTACTGAAATATCTATCCCCAGAAGAGGGTTTTGGTTTGTTTGATACCTGTATCTTAAAGGTAAATGCAGTGTACACGATTTGCAGGTACTGCAATTTGTCATTTGAATAACATCCATTCAATAAATTTATGCAAGGTTCACAATTGTGCTTAACATCAAAATTGGCAGAGTATTTGGTTTGTTATATTTGTGTATCATTCAATGGACTTGTTTCATTTTTTCAGTTCAATGCTGTTTACTTTTAACCAAGGATCGTATAGTGCCGCATAGCGACACAAGTTGGAGAACTCAGCCAAAAAGCTATTATCAGCATAGGTGCCATTCGAGTGTGAACGCTATTCCATAGGCGCAGGCATATCAGGTGTACGTGCCTGTCGCAGTGCCTGCAACTGTTGTGTTAACATAGCGTATTCCTATCCAAATGGCACCCATGCGATAACAACGTTTTACGGGTGTTCACAGTGAAGTTCTTGATCTTAAGTGCCGCTATGCGGTGCTATACGATCTTTGCTTTTAACACTCAAAGTGCAGTGTGTGCAATTTGTCTGGAAAAATCCATGGGCCACAGGATGTTCCTGAGTGCCTGGATAATTGACAGGTGAGGTACATGTAGATCTGCAGGCCAATTATGGCACTCCAAATATGTGCTTTTTTGTCTACAGCTTTGTGTTGTGCTGGTGTTCGGCAAAGTTACCTCAAAATTGTTTCCTTCTTCAACAATGCAATGCCGAGCATCTATAGTATAAACTATATTTCATTGTGTAGTGAATTGATTAAATGATCCGATATATTAACTCTGCTTTGATATCAATATGAACGACATCACTTTAACATTGATATCAATATATAGAAAGTACCAATATAACGAAAAAAAGTTTAGCTGTATTTGCATAGGCACAGGCATACCAGGTGTAAATTAAATTAAGCAGTTGTTGTTATAGACAATGTCTCGTCCCACGTGAAAGAAGAATGTTAGTGCCTTTTCCTAGAATTATACTTGATGTGGGTCACTCAAGAAAAACTCAAAGGCAATAAATTGTTACAGTGTTCAGCCCAATAAACCTCTGACTCCCCTTTCATGAAATGAATCTTAACATCGCCGGCTTGGTTCTGATCTTGCCAACTGTCTGATCTTGCTGACGGCTGTCACGGTGTCGCAGACTTGTTAAAACGTTCATGCTAGTCATACAGCATGTCTTCGGCAGTTTATGGTAATTTCTTTCCTAATCTTTTGGCCCATCTCCTAATCTTTATGGTTGCCCTTAACATTTTTTGCACTCCTTTGAAGGGTCCCCATTGTTTTCATTTTGAAATAAAAGGATCAAATAAGGGTTAACTCAGGACTTTAAAATAATCTGGAAAATAATTGAAAGCCATGCACAAACACCCAGTCTAATAATGCTGTCATGGTAGTACTGTTGCTTAGTGATGTGGCTCCGAAATCAGCACCTTGATCGGTCCACAAGAATGTGGGGCATTCAAGACATCAGAACTGGCCGATCTCCACCTGCAGCAATACCTCAGACGATTTGTACCTTTTGCGCACCCTTTGTAAGGTTTCATGACTTCAATTGTTTAGTCTTTACTTGAGACCCCAGTGCTTGATGCCAGATTGTGCCTTCTTTATGACCAGCATGCTGGTTAGTGTATTAAGCCCCAAAACACATGGAACAGTGTTCTACTACAATGACCAAAGTAATCCCTAACACCTGGAACAGACATTGATAACCTCACAGCCAGCATGTATGCAGTTCCCAAACTTTTTTCTTGGCAATGACCCAAGGTTGCTTTCAATGACTATTTGCCGAGTAGGCTGAATCAAAACAAAGCCTGAAAACTGAATACATGTACTTCAGCATTAAGGTCAGTTCGTACATTAACTTGAATCGGCTTTATGGTACAACAGGCACTAAATGCTTACCGCAGCATGGTTCAAACTTGCAAATTGTACTGTGTTTTGGGGGGCAGGTTGAGCAAGTCAGTTGATTAGGGTATAAAGAACTGAACTGTCAATAAGGTCTGCCATTCCAGTCACTGGCAAGCTGAGGCTTCATATGTTGTGTATTGATTTTTTGAGAGGCAAGCCACAGAGCTGGCTGTAGTGACTGCTGTAGCCTCTTCCATTAATTTATTATCATTGTTATTATATCAACACTCCTAAAACAGGAATTACAATACAAAAACCAACATTTTCTGGGAGCAAAACGAGATGGTGCTGCCAGTTAGTCTGTGCTCCAGACGAGGAACGATTGTTGTCTGCTGGTGTTCCTGTTTTCCTTGATATGGTTTAGGTACATTGTAGCGCTTACAAAGGGTACCCTGCTCCTGAGGTACTGAGTTAGAAGGGCCATGTGAACCTTGTTGTGAAGGGAATTGGCCTCCTGATTAGCAGTTGTGAATGCTACATGTACCTGTCTTGTGGCAGCTTCTTGTCTGAAATGGTGAGGTGGGAAGCCCAGAGATCTGAGAGATTTGAGATGGAGATGGTGTGGGCTTCAGACAGTCTGCGGTGATGCTGAAAGCAGTTGGACATCAATTTCCTTGGCGTGACTGCTCCACTTCTAGGCAGATACATACGTGTAGTACTCAACTAGAGTGTTACAAGGACTAAAATGGAGGAGCGAAGAGTGGTAACATCTACTCCCTGGTTGTGGCAACATAGTCTGCCAACATTTTCCTGCAATGTTGTGGATGTGATTGTGAAAAGTGAGAGGCAGTCAAACTTCACACCAAGGTGGGCAGGGAAGGCACAGAGGGGAAGGTGGGCTCAATTCAGTTTGACTTTCAGTTGTCTGTCGGCTTCTCTTTCATAGAGGTTTCACACTGAGCAGACTGTTTTCCTTGTGTAAAGCTTGAGGGCCATTAGTGGTATTATTCTGCAGGTCCTGCATGTCCTGTGTAAGATTGCATTCTACTTCCTTGAACGTGTTGCATGTTGTGAGGATAGCTACATGTCAGTCATAGGCATCCATGAACATTGAACTTCTTGTGGGTGGTAGGTCTGCAGTATAAAGTGAAGAGCACTGGGGCAAGGGCATTTCCTTGTAGAACACTGTTCTTGAGGGTCATATTCCTACTGACGTTTCCATCTATTAGCAACCTTATGAAGATTGATTGAGTCCTTCGTAACATCAAATCAGCCGAGCCCACCCTAATCCAAATCCAAACCCACAGCTCATTGAGTTCTCTGGATTGACAAGACGGTGCACATCCTCTCTACCAATAAGGGCAAGTCCACCATCATCATAAACTGGGAAAACACCATAAACTTTAACCCCTTGACGGCGGGATATTTTTACCACGTCCTGCCTGGCTGCTGTTTTTTTCCCCATTTTGCTAACAGCAGCCGCAGACATGTAGCAAGGTCACCGGGCCTTATCCCCCAAGTTTGCTGGGTCGCACACTGCACAAAGTCCGGCTCTTTGTAGCCACAATTTACGCTGGGGTATTTGGATCCCATA